ACTTAATATTGATAAATGTAAAACAGCCAACTCTAGATCATTTATACTAGTATTCAATATGAAAACAGAAAAATGTATGTATTCACTTCTTGAAATTGAATTTACATATGGTAGACAAATATTGAAGACAATAATATTATAAAATAATACAGTGAAACCTGTCTATATCCAAATTGTTCTGAAGTCTTGTCATATTAGTTTCTATGTTTTATGAACATGTGTAAACCAAACAGATGTGTAAACCTAACACATTTTCGAGTGCCAAAGGAGTTCAATTAGTCAGGTTTCACTGTATGTTATTATACAAAAAAGTTCATTCTTACCAGACACATTTTGAACACTTTTGAAAATATGTTCAGTAACATTTCCAAGAAGATTGCAGCTATTGCACACATCATCATGACTGTGGTCAGTACAAGCTTCTTGTAGAAGAATATCTTTGGTATTGCTGAGTGCAAAATTAATCCAATGGTCCTTGCAATGGCTTGTTTTCTTTAATGTCAAACTTGTACATGGTCTTCATGTATAGCTTAAGCGCTTTTACATCTGAAGTTGTCTCCTAAAGTTCATCTTTACTGATGTCATGCTCTTGCAGCTTTTGTAATGTTGCTATGATGCTGTCCATAGATGATGCACCATCAGCTGCAATATTATCTAAACCACTAAGATTGGACCTCTTGGCTGCTGCACATGTTGCTAGTAGTTTAAACTGTGTCGATTTTGATAATGGATTAAAATGTTCTTCATTGCAGTAACTTGCATACATATCAATCAACAAAGAATGACAAGTTGTCCTTACTATTTGTGGAATTGTCACCACTTCACCATTATCGAACTCCAACTTCTTAGTTCCATATGAGCAAATTTGTTGAAAATCAGGATTCAAGAAGAATGACAAATCATGATCTAATTTGACTTCATCCATCCTATTCCTGTGACTAAGCTCTTTCTTTAAAGGAAGAGATCCTGGACCATGTTGTGATGCATGAGTTCTACTTTGGTCAATTTTGTGTTTTGTAAGGTCTGGTATAAGCTCCATAAGTTCAGATTTAGTATGCATATTAGGTGATGAAATTAATGAAAGTAGCTGGCATTTCAACATGTTATTATCACTTTCAGTGTACAATTTTGCAATAAGGTTTGTAATACTTGTATCAGACTCAATTTTAACTGGAACTGGCTTGATATCTGCCCCAACTAATTCTAGAATCTTGGATGACTGGCCAGGAGCAATGTGATCCAAAACACAATGTATTGTCTCATTTGCTTTTCTCTTTACATAGCGAACTGTGCTAGCATTGGATTCATTCAAATCCTTCTTAATCATATACTTCACAGGACTGATCTTACTGTCTAACCTGTGTATGGCATTGTTTAATTTGTGTATCCCATTGCGTATTTCCAGTCTTCCAACAGATGATAGACTCCAACTTGATTCTTGGGAACATGTCTCTTGAGATGACATTTCAAAATTAGACTGAAATAAAATTAAGGAAAATAAGATGAAGTCTCAAAGAAGGTGTGCATGTTAATTCATTTAATAAATAAATTTTGTAGTTCGAGGTTCTTCACAGAATCAACACAAAGATGGAAAGATATCTTCCCGATACGATTCAGGGTGAAACAAGGATGTAAAATGTCACCTACTTTATATTCCATATCTATTTTTCTAAGGGAGATACATTTTTCTGTTATGAGAAAGGAGAACAGGGATGGGAGAAAGGAGATGAGGGGTGGGAGAAAGGAGAAGAGTGGTGGAAGAAGGGAGATGACTACCCCCTGTCCTCCCCCTCATATTTGGTTGATGCAAACTAAAGTTAGAGAACGGAAAAGACAAATTTAGCAATTTTTATTTTAGGCCAAATAAAAAAAGATAGTTGTTTCCTATTACCCTACCCTCCCTATTTTGAAAGTTCAAAAATAGCCTACCCTAAAGTTGTTTTTCTTCATTTTTGAATAAGCACTGTTAAAGTCAGAATGTCCCACCCTTAGACTCAATGTACACAAATAAAAAAACTGTAAAATAAAAAAAAATCCCTACCTACCTAACCTTTTTTTTTCAAAGATGTAATAGGAAACACACATATTATTTTTTTGGCCTTATAAAGGCACATAACTCAGGAACAGAAAAAGTGACGCCCCATATTTCAAACTTAATCTGTGTTTTATTGTATAAATAAGCATTGTATATAAGTTTCATAATATTTGGTTGAGGCAAACTTAAGTTAGAGAACAAAAACCTATTTTAGGGACGTATGTATGCACGTACCCAACAGATAAGGGCGGCGGAGGCATAAAGGTGAAAAAATTAATTCAGAAACAGCAACCGAACAATGAGTTGCCTGAAAATTTCAAAGTAAATCTTTGCCTGATAAAAAAAATTATGCTCAACTTTTAAAAATATAGCTTTTGGTCAAAACTGCATTTTACGCTTTATTTCTAGCCATGGTGGCCATGTTGGTTAGTTGTGGGGACAGTGGACTTTTTAAAACTGAATACCCTAATGCTAATTGTGGCTAAGTTTGGTTTTATTTGGCCCAGTAGTTTCAGACAACTTGAAGCTTTTGTCACCTACTATTCTATTCCAACTCCTTGAAAATAATATTTCCCCAAAAAAGTTTATAGCATAAATTAATGTTTTACCTCATCACTTAAAAATAAATCTTTTTTATCTTTTCTACTAAGACAGCATTCTGCAAATAAAAATCAATATTATCATTATTAATGTACATCATATATATCATGAATATACAGATCAATGTATTTGTTCTTACAAAACTCTTGAACTCTTGTGTAAGATCAGATTTAAGTGGTTCCAATTAAGCGGTATTGATTTTACACAGACCTACTAACATAATGTTGTATAATAGGCAGGATTTCGTATAAAAATATTCTTAATTAAACTGGTTTTGAGTGGTACACATACCATACGGATAATAACTCTCATTAAATGTCAATTTTCAACAGGCTGTAAATGTACATTTTTTTCTCAATTTTCCCCAAAATGTACCCTCAAGCTCTCTTTGTAGACAGTGTTTCAAAATCAATTTAATGGTGAATGGTGTCACACTATATGTACAACACATCCACTAGTTTAAAAAAATAAATACCATATTACCGTGTTCGGTCATGTATAATGCACACTTTTTTAACCAAAGATATATAGTTGGTAATAGGGGCCCACATTATACACAACAATATACGGTAATCATACATTTTATAAAAAAAAAATCTTTATGTTTTTTCTTCATTATTGTACATTCAAGTGTAAGTTGTTCCTTAGATGTGGACCTAAAGAAATAAACCAAAGTGTCAGGAACATATGTAGGAACGTCCACATGTATACTATAGGAGTTATTCCAGAAAATACGAAAGTTTGACAAATAGAATGTTTTAACATTTCTATACAATATGAACTTGAAAATTAATTTTAATGTATACATGTACCTCTGTCTCTCTACATTTTTTCCGTAAGCATTTCTTCGTAGATCGTTGTTCTTCATTTGTGTTTTTCTGTTAGAAGAGAAATTTTCAGTAATGGCTATAAGCAGTGCACTTTTATGTTATATTAAAGCATATTTTAAGTCCACATATAAGATTAGATAAGATAAGATAATTTTATTTTCCAAAAAAGGTCCCGGGGGGGGGGGGGGAGGCATTTACATATGACAAGCTAAAATATTGAGTCATAACAGAATAATATATAATATATAAATGTTGCTACTCAAGAGATGTGGTAAAAATATTCTCACTTGATTTTATCTATTAACTATATTACTATTCATTTGTTTCTTTTGCTAGATACAACTGTATCCATATTTAATTCGCTTTTAACTTTTTTATAGACACAAACCTCTGTTGTCAACCAGCCAACATAAAGTTTATTCTTCTGAAGAACATATTTTCAATTCACAAGAGACACACATTGCTCCTCTCATTCACAAAATAAGCCCAAATGCAAAAACATAATTATGTTGTTTATTAAGCAGAAAATGTATGTAAAGTGTCGTATTTATATTGAATCCTGCAGTACTACCCAACATATCCAACTGGTCAAGTTTTATTGCTATACCATGTCTTGTATTTCAGATTTTGAGCCTATTTAAAATAAATCTAGCCAGTAGGCCGAGATTTAGTAGAATGGCAAGGGCACATCTATATGCTCCTTGGACTTTAGACTATCAAATCATTGGTTAAAACAATTTAGATCATAGATGCATTTTCATAATCAAATATTTTTTAAAAATATTATATTCTTCACTTATGCTATTTTCTTTAACAGACCAACTCAAGATATTCAAGCGAATGTCTCTGAAGAGACTAAAAAAATTAAATGAAGCAATATTGTTAAATCTGTCTTACAAATTCTTATTGAAAGTCAAAGTACATTAGTACATGCACCTGTATTTCAAGACTGGACACTGATGTTTGTTACCCAGCTTGTAACCAACTCAGACTCTTTCTGCACTTTACACATAAACCTGTCAATATAGATAAAGAGTAATGTTAGTACTATATTACATAATTTCATTCAACTGCATTACTTTGTTTTCTGGCCTTATCATGCTTATTAAGATAATGAATGTCCTTAGCTTTGCAAGCAACATTAATTTAAACATTTATTAAAATACATGTGGTATGAGTACACATGCATATTCTGTGATATATACACTGTATATATCACATAATATGCATGTGTACTCATACTAAATGTATTTTAATAAATGTGTATATATCACAGAATATGCATTTAAACTTGCAATAAATATGAAGTATAGAAGTGTGAGTGTAAGAACATTTCAAAGACAGTGGCATGATTTATGTCCCAATATTGTAGTTACAAAGCCATGTACTGATTTATGCCAAAAGTGTCAGGAATATGCTGGTAAAATATCTAATAGTGGAAATCTGTCTGAAGAGGAAAAACAGTTATTGTTAAATCAATATAATATACATGTACAACTAGCAAAAGAACAAAGAGACTTAGCAAACAATACTACATGAACTTGCCAGATGCACTGAAACAATCAGGTAATATATATATATAAAGGTTAAATAATTTATTCCACCAAAATATGACTTCTGTATTAATATTACATATCTCTTTATGTCTCTCCTAAATATCTGTTCATATTCATAAAACATACTTTTGAATATTTTTATTATTATTTATATAATATGTTTCAAGTCCTTACCAAATAGTCAGTGCATGCATTTTGTTCATATGTAGAACAGTAGTATATATACATGTAAGTGGTGAACTTTATTCCATACTTTTGTTCACATGTGACAGTACATTCAGTTGTATATAATTGGTCAACTTTATTCCAGACAACCATTAATCATATTAATCATGTTAATAACATACACAAATCCACAGTCTTGACACTTCTACTTCTAAACATACATGTACATGTCTCAATATACAATGGTCATGTATCCTTTTTGGACTTAATATTACTTGGATTAGATAATTAGATTCATTTGTACTACCATGACAGTAGGAATATTTTTTTTTAATAAATGGCAAAAGCTTTTATTGAACAGGCTATCCTCAATCTTATGTATTTAGTTGTTAACTCTTACATGTGTTTTACAGGAAATTCTCCACAGTCAGTACAGACCACTCTACACTATTCCTGGGATTATGCCCAACAAGTTCACTTTCCTCACCATGCTCAGCAAGTGGGACCCATTTATTTCAAAACACCAAGAAAATGTAATGTGTTTGGAGTCTGCTCAGAAGGATCTGGTAATTTTTTATTGGTTTTTTATTACATTAAATATATGCTTTTGATAGTTAGAAACAGTAGCATGAACATGTGATTTATTATAATTTATAGTTTTAAAACAAACTGATGGACATAATCACTGGACATACAAATTTATATTTGATGTACATGATCATTGACTTGTAAGGTGCAGTTTTCAAGGTCAATAACTCTGATATGAATAACTATACCCTTATGATTCATGTATGTATTGAGTTAAGTTACATACATGTATATGGAAATAAATTTCTTAAACATGATTTATCTTTATTTATTTACCTCTGTTGCACACATCATGTACTAGATCATGTTAAATTGTACTTTGTGAATATACTATTGTATTAGATATGTATGCTTTTGTTTTAAATGTTTTCAAAATGGCTAATGGTAAATTCTGTATGTAATGTTTTGTAGGAAAACAAAGTTTCTATTTGATTGATGAAGCTGAAAGTATTGGCAAAGGAGCACACTCTGTTGTTGGTATGGTGCATCACTATTTCAACAAATTTGGTCATGGAGAGACTGATGCTAAAATCCATTTTGACAACTGCACTGGTCAGAACAAGAATAATGTAGTATTATGGTATGCATTATGGAGAGTAATGACAGGTAACTATTATTTGATTATGTTACATTATTTCACACAGTGTTATATTATATTCAAACTATAACCAAGACAACAATTTATTGATAAAAGTTTAAAATTCTCTTTTTAAATAAACAATACTGACTTTATTCTATCTGTATTTTTAGATTAAGACATACCACATCTTCTTTTTTCATATTAACAATGTATGCAGAATATGTTATAGTGATAGTTCTGTGATTAGAATCAACATTTCATGTTATCAACATTCAAAAGATTTATTTATTTTTATAAGTATAGTGCTCCTTCGTTCAATTAAATTTAATAGTGACTTAATAGGCTATTAACGTTAATTAACGTTTGTGCAACGTACATAATAGACTATTGAATTTAAGTGTACTTTTAATAGACTATTAACTTTAATAGACGTTTGTGCAACCCAGTCCAGATGTATATATTTTGCATACAATATTTATTTCTAGTATGATAACTTTAGTTACTGGTATCTTGTTAACTTTCTCATTTTGGTATTTGCTTTTTTAAAATAAGTATTTTTTGTAATAGAATTTTTATTTTTGTTTTGCCAGGATTACACAAAAGCATAGAATACTCGATGATGATTGCAGGACATACCAAGTTTAAGCCTGATTGGCATTTTGGTGTTTGGAAGTTACACTGGAGAAATTCAGCAGCAGAAACATTATCAGAGGTAGATAATGGTAGTTTATATAATAATTAAAACTACAATTTAATATACAAGTACATGTATAAACATTATTACTTGATTTAAGATAGAACTATCAATGTTTTTTTTCTAAAGTCATTTCAAATAGTTAATATTTCACCTATTCAATATGATCAAAGAGCAATAACTCTTACACATATGAAACCTGGATTAATTCTTTGGATTAATGACATAACATTAGTTTCTTAAAATGTTTTATTTTGTACACAAATTACAAAATGTACTCATAATTGATTCAAGCATAGATAGCATGTCCAGTTTTTACCCGAGTTAGTTTCTAAATTTATAGAGGTATCTGACTTGCATATTATTGTCATCTGTTTTTGATGTCTGGCTGTATTTTACTGTAAAGTCACCCTTTCAAATTTTCTTTTTTTAAATCTGTATGTATTTGTTAGTACTCTCAAATCATTTATGAAAAGTCTTGCAGTTGATTTATTGTTCTTTGTTTTATTACAGGTAGCTGAAACTGTGACAAGGTCCAGCAGAAATGGACACAACATACCACAAGTTGTAGGAAATATACAAGATCCTGTAATGTTTTATGAATGGAAGCCTTATTTTCAACAGTACTTTAAAACTTTGAAACATATAACTGACTATCATCATTTTTACATGGATTCACAACACCCAGGAGTAGTAAAATGCAGAGAAAATGCATCTTCTGAATCATATACATTCAATTTACTGATATGCAAAACTAAAACTCCACCAGGAGGTGAGCTTCCTCAACCATCTAACATCAAATGACTTGAACCTGCCAGGCAGTGGTATTTATATGAGCAGATAAGACAGCACTGCTACTCAGATTCAGCTAAGAACATTACATGTCCGAAACCACTGGTTCCTAAAAATGAAATAGACTTAACACAACAAGACCAACACAATGCCATATCCAATGGAGGAAGGCTCTGCTGAACTAAATAAAATGATAAAATATTTCAGTGAAAATTATTTGAATTTTAACACAATGCTTGTACTATTTAAAAATAAAGAGATGTGTTATGATTACCAATGAGACAAGTTTCCACCTAAGTTTAAATAAAGTGGATGTAAGCAGTTATAGGCACATGTATGGCCTTCAACAATGAGAAAACCCCTACTGTAAAGTCAGTTATGAAGCAGTTTAATTGAGAAAAGTAAAGGACTAATTAAAAACAAAACAATTTACCAAAAAAAAAATGGCAGACATGAACCAATAACCTGTACATACAAAATTAATGAAGTAAACAAATTATGCAATTCTATGATTACTAGAAATGACCTATTACTAAAAAGTCAAACTCAAAGTGGATGTTGTGTAAGCTTCCATGAGACAATCACCAGAAAAAACTGAACTATTTCAAAATAAAAATGTATTTTGAAATTATTTTACTCTATCAAGGCAACAAATTGTTTTTTTAGTAAATAATGGCACAACAAATATCCCATATCGGATGGTGAGGATTGGGGTTTACAGAATAGAGAAAAATGGGCAAAAAGAAAATAAAAGGACCAAAAAGATAAAGAATAGAAAATGCAATGTACTGGGCGAAAAGTATTAACAAAATTGAAATGAAGGACCCACCATCCAGACCCTCATAGCCTATATATTTATCTATTATAAAAAGAAACCATTTGTTTTTCTTTTATATACATGTACTTTGAAATTTAAAGTTCTCTAAGAGTTAAAGTTCATTACACAATCTGGAAAAAATTTAAAAAATAAAAAAAAATTAAAAAAATTGGTAGCCATGGTCATGATGGTAACCGATTTAATAGTTAAAAATATATATCAGTTAGAATAAATCATACTTTTTCAAATTATTTGACAAACATTAAACATAAACTTAAGGTGTCTAATTATAGAATGAACAATTTTGGAAGAATACACATTTACAAGAAAAAGTCTTGAGTTTTTCGAATGATATCTTCAATTTGTCAAGTTATTTCCAAGATACATGTAAGTTACGAATCATGAAATGGTTTTTTCTCAGAAACTACTTGTGCTATCCCCTTGAAATTTTTACAGAATGTTATTTATGATAATTAGGCTCCAAAAATGCAAAAAAATCAAAATATGTATTTTTCTCATCTGGACCCATTTTCTCAGTCATGGTCACATATGTTGTGTACAAATTGTAATATTGTACAAATTATAATTTGTACAGAATTTTCGTACAAGTTATCAGTGCTTTTTGAATCTCCTAACACAAATTGATAGTACAAGCACAGAGTCTTTTGTTGAGCATATATCTGTTATTTTCTATGACTGCATATGATACAGTCTTGTACTCAGCATTGAAACAAACAAATTAAAAAAAATTAATTTGGGTCATGTTATAAAAACAACAAACTTTTTTTGTTTGCAATTGTAAAATTGTAATTATGTTTATTAACTGCCCCTTGTTATAGCGTTACATCTGTCTGATTGTACTAATAAACCTTTAAACTTGTTACTAATTCCACTTACTTTTAACTTTGCAATTAATAAGATAAGAACCCCTACCCATTCCCCCCCACCCCATAAAGGCTGAAAATGACAAGTCCAGACTTAAACAAAAATTGGGCAGCACTTCCCCTAGGAAATGAGCCTTTTCAACCCCAATCCCTGACCATAAAGTAGGGAATTGAGAAACAAATCAAGAGGTCAGGTGTGGAACAGTTTCATTTATTAAACACATGTACCATATCCCACCGGAAGTGGTGCCTATTGTAGAAAATTAACTGTAAAGAAAATCTATAACCCTTACACAATTAGCAGTCTGATATCCACTCAGAAAATATTAATTTGGTCAACAAAAAGTTGAAAACAATTATAAATAGTCTGTCCCTTGAAAATTGCCCCTCCCCTTTTTCACTTGCCTCAGAAACAGATGCCTGTCCCCAAACCACCAATTTAAATGTGACAGAAAGTATATTAGTAATATCATATATTTTACCTGATCCAACCGGGACTACACAGCCAAATTTTTGCAAAAGATGTAGACTTGCAGCTACAGTAACACCTTGTCTGTTTCCTTCTGGTTTCCCTTTGCCCGTATGTTCCGGATGTGTACATTTTGAAAGTCTTTTCCAATACACACCAAGAGAGTATCTATGATATGGACACACAGAATAGGTATCAATCTCAGCAAATATTCCAACACGGTGACAAATGAGATTGCACTCAGTGCTAATATGATCATTGATATAATAAGAAGACAGGTGTGATTTTAAATTTCTCTGGCAATATTTCAATAACAAGACTTCTGTCTCTTTTGGAAAATAGGGTGTCAGACCACATTTGGTATTTGGCTACATATTTGCTCTGTGCCCATTTTGCTGTGACAACCATTGAAAATTAAAAACTAAGCCAAAAACATAAGTCTCAGTCATTTTCTTATAACTATGGGTTGTATTTATTCAAAAAATATTATCCATGGATAAGATAATCTCTCATCATTAATTTCTGCATAGTTCAATAGGTCTTGTGCATTATTTAATGTAACATGGACAGACATGTTCTTATTCAAGGTTCCAAAGAGTTTTAATAATTTAAAGTGAGTAATGAGCAATGTGTCATTCATAAAAAAAATCATAAACCATTCAACACAGTGAATTTTGCTACCTTAAAGGTGTAGAATCGCATAACATTTAATTGAAAAAAATCATCAAGCATTAAAGTTATCCTAAAAATACTTTCAGACTTGCAGGAGTATTGTTTCTTTCCTAATATTGACAGATCTACATATGTAGCATAATATATATGAGCAAAAAGGCAACTGATATGAACAGAAAAAATGACTGAAGGCAGTAAAATATCAATGGTTCATCAGCCTGTTTCATGTAACATGGACAGACATCAATTAAAACTTGTCAACCATTTCATTATTAGGGAATATAATGTCTAATTTTTATATGATTGTCTTTCAATATGGAAAACAAACAAAAAAAAACCTTTGCCTTGCAATCCCATAATTAATAGAACAATGTACAATGTCTGGAACCTTGACACCTTTAGATACAAATGGATTCTGTTGCAGTTTTTTTAGCGTTGAATCGTGACAATTCACTAATGTTTTATATTTTTAAAACAAGATTACACATTTTAGTTTTAATTCAATTTATTGATATTCTAATTAACAATGATTAATCAAAATGAGTCATTGCATCGCAGTTCACCATGTTCACAGGTCAACAATCTTCTTTGGCCCTTTCTTGAAATCATTGCCTGCAAAGAAATTTTGAAAAAAATGTTTTGAAAAAGACCTTTTATATATAAATACAGTAAAATATGAAATAAAGAAATAGCAGCCTGTTTTATTTATTTATGTTATTAGCGATAAAGTTAAACCAGAGTTTAAAGTCATTTACCAGATTGTATTTTAAAACTACAAACTTCATCTGTGCTTTCATTTTGTCAATGCTGGCCAACATTTAAAGAACACAAGCATAACCTCACTTGAATAAGGATCCATTGAAAAGGCACATTTACCTTATGGAAGCAATATGCAAATTTTGCACATTTTGTATGTTCATAATCATCACATAATCAGTGTAATAAGTCTTTATTAGAGGTAGCTGCAAGATTTGTTCATTATCTGGACTTGGTCGGTTTAGCTGCAAGATTGCTTCATTATCTAGACTTGCTCGGTTTGCTGGGGTTCGTGCTGCTTATTCTTTAGTTTTCTATGTTGTGTCATATGTACTATTGTTTGTCTGTTTGTCTTTTTATTTTTTAGCCATGGCGTTGTCAGTTTATTTTCGATTTATGACTTTGACTGTCCCTCTTTTACAGTTATTTGTATACTACTGACAAAGTCAATAATTTTATAATTTAACTTGTTTAATCCCATATAAAATAAACTTACATGCATGCTTTGTTTTGTTTATTTTATTAAGAGAAAAAAATGTTTTTAAGACACTTGTCATGTTTGAAATGTTGTGTGAATACCTACCATTAAATATGTAATAAAGGTGACGACCTTCCATTCTTATGTCTGGTGGATGCAACGTATCAACAACATCTGACGTTGCAATGATATACGTTGGCCCACCATCCATCCATTTTCCATCTTTAAGATACTAATAATACATAATCCATGGCCATTCAGAAACCTTTAAGAAAAATGATAAATATCAATAAAAAAGTATTAGAACGACAACCAACTTTGGACTTTGTTTCGTTCATGGTATTTAATAAAGAGCCGTTCTATACATTGAAATATACTGAAATTTGTGTACATTCAACCTAATTCACATTATATCTGAACTTTAGAACTTTTGATAACTACATTAATTTGTAAATTTCCAAATAGTACTCACATGACTCACAATCTTGACCCAGTATGGACTATTTCAATAAAGGATGACCATCAAATTGCAAAATGAAAGTTTATGCAGCAAACTAAATTGCATATTAAACTGCAATAAATGAAGTACATGAGAGATGATTATTTTTTGACAAAACCAACATATTGTAAACAACAATCTGCACAAAATAATTGCTTTCTAATTAGTATTTTTTATAAAGGTATTGATCCTCTTGGATGTCAAGTGTTCAATTAGACAATGTGAATAGTATCAGAAAATGATCATCTCTGGGTGCACTGCGTAAAATAATCCCAAAAAGAAATAACAACAAATGTTCTTTAACTCCACTTACTACTGCTGGATAAATATTAGAACCAAACTTTACAGCTATGTTTGTACCATTATTAAAGTATCTGTTAAAAAAATTGAGTAAAAGTTCAACAGGTAGGATTAAATTCCAATTAAACAAATGTCCGAAATAAGGCTGTTCCATTACAGCATTTTAACTCAAATCAAAAAAATAGATGTGGTATGATTGCCAATAAGACAACAATTTACTTAGATCTTAACTTTAGGTCACTGTACAGCTTTTGTCAATGAGCAAAAGTTACACAGCATAGACACAATTTATACCAATGTAATTTAGTTTATTGAGAAATTTAGATACTAAAACCACAAAGTGAAAGAAATAAAACATTACATACAAGAAAACGAACAGCCTTATTCGTGTACAGTACATTACATAAAAATATTATATACAGCAAAAAATAACCCTCAAATAACAGATAATAAATGTTAGAACAGACAAATAATAACATACCTTGAAGGAATACATTTTTCCTGAACATGTTCAACGTTTTATGTGTTTTCATGGTTCCTTTAAATAAAAAAAAAACATCAATATGTAATGCATTAAATGATAAAACAAAACTAACCCTACTACAGATAAAAAAAAGTTATCAGAATTTTGCATGGTTTATGAGCTAATGCCTTTATTGTGTTTTACAGTGGTTAGAAAAAGTAATAGACCCCAAACAAAACCCTGAGGCACCCCTGACTGATGAATACAATATGATTTCAATATTTTTTTAATCTAAAATTAGCATGCCAAACTTGTAAAATGTAATGTCCATTACAAAACTTGTGTAAAATAATATAAACATGCAGAAAACCAAATGCATTTGAGATTTCTTTTCTTCTGAAAATTAAACTTCAAGACAAAAACCTATCAATTGATAAATTGATCAATAAATGTATCATGTGTATTGAAAGATTCTTTTTCGCAATCAGCATCACTGAATGACATGTTGTTGAAGTTGAGACTCGTCATACTGGTGTCTACAAAAAATAAAAATATATATATGCAAACATTTAAATGTGGCTAATAAGTAAAACAATTAATTGAAGACATTGGTTGCATTATTATGATTATCTCAGACATGAAATTATTCATTCAAATTATAAGTATCGCCATGGCTTAAACCACAAAATTTGATGTTCATTTTCATTCAAAATTTAGCAGTTGTTCAATGTTAAGTTTTGGAATCTGCAATCTTATTACAAAATTCTGTTTAAATTTAAATCATTTTAAGCAGTAATTATGATAGTAATTGTATGTCAAGCATGTATTGTTTTTGGCTTTATACATTGTCGCATGAAACAAAGAATACCATACACTTTTGTTAAATTAATATTAAAACATGTTTAGATTAATGCTTTTGTCATGATTTTATACCCTTTAGCTCTGGTAGTTCAGTAAACAAATCACTTCCAAGGAAATCGTCAGGTCCATCTTTTGTTACTATTTCATCGTCATCATCTCTATTATCATGTTCGTTTTCAATGTCTTGCTCTTCATCATTCCTGTTTAGCATATTGAGATCAGGTCCATCTTCAGTTACTATTTCATCATCATCATCTCTTTTATCTTGTTCGTTTTCAATGTCTTGCTCTTCATCATTCCTGTTTTCAATGTCTTGCTCTTCATCATTCCTGTTTTCAATGTCTTGCTCTTCATCATTCCTGTTTTCAATGTCTTGCTCTTCATCATTCCTGTTTAGCATGTTGAAACCATTCAAGTTTACACTCCTCCATGCACCAACAACTGCCTCATTCTCGCATGTTGAACTTGTTCCTTCAGCATGTTCAGTGGCAGTGCAAAAACCACAAAAACAAGTCAGTTTCCTGACTTGAATTTGTCCTGCTCCGATACCCCTCACAGAATGTAGACTTCGGGTACCTTTAACTGTTTTACATACTCTGTTTGGTCTTACATGTCGTATGTTGCTTCTTTCAACCCAAATTAATTTTCGTCTATTATGGTTACAAGTTCCATCAGGGTTTGTAAGTTCTTTCTGCAAACATAAACACTGTTGATACAAATCCTTAGCAGAGTTGATCAATCCTCCGTTCCTTATTATTCTTGCTGCCTTCGATTTTATGACCCCCCTTCTCCATCACACCTGTTCTTTCCATGCCTGGAGAGGGGCCTCGGTGGACGAGTGGTCTAAGTAGTGTTGTGTAATATGGTATAATGGACGTGACATTACTATGTAGACAGTACGGTAGTTAGATATACCGCGTAGCCCGGTTCCCGGAATGATCCTTGTAAACTATCATCTGATGTAAACTATCATCTTCATCATATGAATATCATCTGATATTCATATGATGAAGACATAATCTTTCAATCAGTTTAATTGATTGATTGATTGTTGGTTGCTTAACGTCCAGTGGCAAATATTTCATGCATATTCAGGACGAGAACAAGTTCACAATAAATACAATAGGTAGGTTCTGTAATAGATTAAGGGATTAAGGTCGGAGAAATTTAGACTGCCACGGGAAATGAGGGTATATTGGATAGGGACAGAAATTTAGCCTTGCAACAGGTCACCTACGGACCCCTCAAAGAGTTGTTGCAAGGGTTCTTAACGTACAAAGAGCGCGGCACTCTCTTTACACGAGGCATCGGATTTAACGTCCCCATTCTGACCGGACGTGGCTGCAAATTTGTACATCCCGCACAGCCAAACGGACGCCCCACTTTAGCACGGGTTTTACTGCCGGTCGGAGGAAGACCAATGGTGACCATACTTCTATTCCCCAGTCACCCTTGGGGGGCAGTTTAATTGAAGGCTAGCTGGCATGTCAGTTAACTGCTAGTAGTCTGTTGTTATTTATGTATTATTGTCATTTTGTTTATTTTCTTTGGTTACATCTTCTGACATCAGACTCGGACTTCTCTTGAACTGAATTTTAATGTGCGTATTGTTATGCGTTTACTTTTCTACATTGGCTAGAGGTATAGGGGGAGGGTTGAGATCTCATAAACATTTTTAACCCCGCCGCATTTTTGCGCCTGTCCCAAGTCAGGAGCCTCAAGCCTTTGTTAGTCTTGTATTATTTTTAATTTTAGTTTCTTGTGTACAATTTGAAGTTTAGTATGGCGTTCATTTTCACTGAACTAGTATATATATTTGTTTAGGGGCCAGCTGAAGGACGCCTCCGGGTGCGGGAATTTCTCGCTGCATTGAAGACCTGTTGGTGGCCTTCTGCTGTTGTCTGTTCTGTGGTCGGGTTGTTGTCTCTTTGACACATTCCCCATTTCCATTCTCAATTTTACCTAACTCAGGATAAGATCTCAGATAGTTACCAGGTAACGATAGTTGGCGTGTTGGCGGGTATAAGGACGCAACGAATAATATATTACCAGAGCGTATCATAGGATATTTGGTAAGTTAGTACAATTAGAGGCGTTGAATTGTATTAGTAGTATTAGTATTGAGTGATAATACTCGGAAATCACATCACTGGCGCTTGGCGAGCAGGGTTTCCTGTGATAAAGTACGATTTGAATCGAGACACAGAAGTGAGTACATCACGTGTAATTGCGAAGTTCATATTGCTATATTTGGTATATTATGAAGTGTTTGAACACGGAAATAATATAAGCATAAAAACTTGCGTTAATTACAGTGTTTACAAATTTATTTTCGAAAATTGTTTTACGTTTTGCTAAAATTAGCCGTTATCAGAGCAATTTGGAGATAATTAGCCATTTTCGGAAAAATTAGCCGTTTTTTTTTGTGGTTAGCCACATAGCTCATACACATTAATTTTTTTTTTCTGGTTCAGCAATCAGTGATTAAATTGAATTGTATTTGTGTTATAATAACATAATGGCAGACTTAGCTTTTCAGAAGGAGCGTACCAAGATTAATAGCTGTACTTATGAAGAATTAAGGTTGTTACCTGGTGTGGGAAATGTCATAGCTGACAAGATTATGTCTATGAGAGAGACATTTGGTAATATTCAGCCTGAGCATCTTTCTGAAATACCAAGACTAAGAATTACTGAAGCCTTGATGGATTTGATAGATTTGTCACCAGTTACACTGCTACAAGAATACAAATTACGGACTCAGTCAAGTTATGATTTACAAGACTATGTTGATTATGGTGAAGTTAAAACATCTGGATTTCATTCGGAATATGCAAGACGAAAAGCAGAAATCAATGACTTTTCGGATTCTGACACACCTTCTGATGAATTTTTGCTTAAACCTGAGCCTGAGGAAGTCAAACGTGAGTTATCACGTCCCAGTTCAGCGATGAGCAAGCCTTTTAATTACACTTTGCAGTATGGGGACCACCAGTATTCAACAAAATTGTCAAGACCTGATGAAAGAAAACCATTACTACAAACCAAGTATGATGACCAGGATAAAGTTCAAGATTTTTCAATTGATCGACAGTTTAAGCCAGACAAAATTCATAGAACAGATGAATTAGGGTACACGAAACCAAGTATCAGATTAAATATTGAGGAAAACATTGAAAAACGTGATTATTCACGTAACCAAAATACACAGCAGCAGACATCACAATTGGGATGGCAGCAAGGTCCCAATGAGCACATTGAAAAACGTGATTATTCACGTAATCAAAATACACAACAGCAGACAAAGCAACTGGGATGGCAGCAAGGGCCCAACGAGCACGAACCTAGATTAGAAAGGCCAGTTCCAGTCCCAAGACGTCGTCAACAGGTAGAATCACATATACCTCTACAGAAATCCGACGCAGAATACCTACACCTGAAATCCGTCGCAGAATACCTTCACCAGAAATATTTAGGGAACCAGTATATTCCTTGAGAACACCAAATCCAACATACTCTTCTACAATAAACAGAAATATGTACCCTCCAAGACCATATTTAAGTTATGGGGAGTCACCGCAATTAATGACTCCAGCTAAGCCAAAATCAAAGAACCTAGAAATACCTAAAGGACTGAAGTATGATGGTTCCTCAAGTTGGAAAACTTTTTACACCAAGTTTCATACGTATGCTGATCGTTTATCGTGGACTACCACGGAACGAAAAGACCAACTGTGTTGGTGTTTACATAATAAAGCAGGTGATTACTATGCAAATTTACTGGATAGAGACAAAGGTGTGGATTACTTTGAATTAATTCACAAATCAGAGAAAAGGTTCAATTTTCAAGACTTACCAGAGACGTTGCAAGTTCAGTTCATGAGTGCACGACAAAATACAAATGAGAAACTGGAAGATTGGGCAGACCGAGTTCTCTCGTTAGCCTGTAAAGCCTTTAGAAATCTTCCCGACAGTTATATGTATACACAAGCTATCTGGAAAATATGCCAGGGATGCTCAGATAAAGAAGCTGGTCAACATGGAGCCACCGCCAGACCAACATCTGTTGAAGCAGCAATTGACCAGATAAAATGGTTCCAACATAACCACACAGCTATATTTGGTAAACCAACCGGTAGACGTGACCCAACACCAAATCAGGATGAACCAAGTAATTATGATAGCGACCTAGCTGTTCACGCTATGGGTAAGACGGACACAAAGTCCGATTTGTCTAAACAAATGGAAACATTGCTAGAAAAGATGACTGCTATGGAAGCATTTCATAAGCAGGAAATTGGAGACATTAAACAGCAGCTTCAAAAACAACAGCAGGCAAAACAGTTTCCTGCACAAAATGAAGTCCAGCCAGCAACCCAACCATCAATCTTCTTCATCAATGGAGAGGCACTACCTATGGTACATGGACATATTGGACTGGTACCGCCTGTGAACGTTATAGCAAGAGTAGCTAAAATAACCGTTCCATATAGAACAGTCATACCTCCTAATTCAGTTGTACAATTAGAGTCAGATTTGTCAGCAGAGTTAACTGATTTTATAATTGAACCTAACAAAGAGATAGATTTGTTAATCCCACGTGGTTATTACAATGCTAGTTCTTTGTAACGTTCAACAAGATAGTTTTGCAAAAGGGAACTCTTTTAGGCGAAGCAATTGAAGCTGATGTTGTTGAAACGGGGCCAGCCCCGTCAGTAGCAACAACTGGAATAGCCAGAGATAACAATACACTACCGGAACAGTTGCAGAACATATTGGATAAATCCAGTACACTTGCTGAAGACCAAAAGTCCAAAGTTGCAAATTTACTTCATGAATTTGCTGATGTTTTTGCACTAGATGATTTTGACTTAGGAACATTTAACCACATTGAACACGAGATTGATACAGGCGATGCGCGCCCTATCAAACAACGAATAAGACGAACAACCATGTGTTTTGCACACGAAGAAGAAAACCATTTAAAGAAAATGTTAGATGCAGGTATAATAGAACCATCTATATCAGAATGGGCTTTTGCCCCAGTACTTGTGCGCAAGCGCGATGGCAACGTGCGCTGGTGCATTGATTACAGGAAGTTGAATTCCGTGACGAAAAAAGATGTCTATCCACTTCTCTTGATAGACGAATGTTTGGACACTTTAGCGGAAAACGAATGGTTTTCAAAATTGGACGCTAATAGTGCATATTATCAGATTAAAGTGAAGGACTCAGACAAGGAAAAGACTGCCTTCATCACTAAATACGGATTATTCCACTTTGTTCGAATGAGTTTTGGCCTTTGCAATGCACCTGGAACATATTCACGAGTAATGAATCTCGTTCTCAGAGGTTTAACATGGAATGTTGTACTCGCCTTCCTGGACGATATTCTAGTAA